GGGGTTATCGGGGTTTCTAAGAGAGTTCAGTCCTCAAGCACTCCGGGAGGTTCCCCGGGCTGAGGACTTAGGCCTTTATATGGGGTTTCCGAAAATAGGGGACCCTAAGATAGTACCCTAAATAGTAGGATCCTTATAACAAGGACCCCAAAATAAGGTAGCCCGAATTTTCTGGAAACTCCCATATGGGCTTTTCAGGCTCAGAGAGGCTCCAAAACATTCAGAAAGCCCAGAGCCATTCAAAGCTCCCTAAAGAGAGCCTCCGAGCCACCAACCCACCCCAAGACCAACAGCTATACCCACATCCCGAGACCAACAGCTATACCTTTAGGGTTTAGGGTTGAGGGTTAGGGTCTATAGGGCTTAGGGTTTAGGATTTAGGGTTTTGAGTCTACAAGGTTTCCGGTTTAGGGTTTAGGGTTTAGGGTTTACCCTCCCTCATCGCCCGAAGCCCCGGCGGCTCCGGCGATGGATTCGGCGAGGGACGGGAGGGCCCAGTGTAGGCTTCCACGGCGGGGCTCCCCACCTGGCTCTGGGAGTTTCGAAGATGGCGGCTTAGGGTTTAGGATCTGTAGGGTTTAGGGCTCATAGGGATCAGGGTTCATAGGGTTTAGGGGTTAGGGCTCTACTTGGAGGTTCATGGGCTAGTTATAAGTGGGATGATTAGAAGTCCCCTATAATATGGGGTTTAGGTATAGTTGCCCTACTTAGAACCCCACTTATACCTACACATGAACTTCCAAGTACTGGATTCTATGATGCTTCGGCAGAGCTTTCTCATTCATTTGAAACACCTTTCTGTATTGCTGCATGAAGCAAGTTTTTGACTGTACGGTGCTTCAAGCGGGTCGACGAAATCGGTTCGGGCTTCATACTGTTGATGATATAGACCTTGCATTACCTTAACGACCCTAAGCTATGGGAACTATGGTATATATATATATACATACCATCAACCGTAGCTTTGGAGCTATAAGAGTTTCTGAAGCTCAGCTTCTGCCGCTTGCCGGCTTCTGGAGTTTTTTTCCACCGAGGTCTATGGCAACCGGGGTTCGGCGAAGCCCCAAACCCTGAATCCCTGCACCCTCACCCCTAAACCCTAAACGCCCCAAACCCTAAACTCATAAACCCCAAAACCCTGAAGCCCTGCACCCTGAACCCTAAGCCCTCAACCGTCCTCACCAAAGCCCAGACGCTTCTACACTCCGGGAGGCCCCCGGAAAAGACGCACCTGGGCGCTGCAGTTCTCCCGTAGCATCAGTCGGTCTCCAGCTTGCATCCGGTAGCCCTCGAGACCTGGCAACAGGGTGCTACTCTTAGGCACCAGATTGCGGGCTCTACCAAAGGGCCCTTGGGGGGTTTAGGGTTTGGGGCTTTAGGGGTTTAGGGGTTTAGGGGTTTAAAGGTTTAGGTTAGGGTTTAGGGGTTTAGGGGTTTAGGGGTTTAGGGGGTTTAGGGTTAGGGTTTCGGGTAGATTCTTGGGGGGGCTTGAGATTCGGGGGTTTTAGGGAGAAGGGGTTTCTGCAGCAGGGTTATAGACAGGTTTAGGAGGGCTTTGGTGACGTCTGCAGCAAAACGGGTGTTGAAGGGACCAGTTGTCAACCAGTCTGTGGATTCATGAAGGTCTTATGGATGGAGGAGTACTCACCCTAAACCCCAAACCCTAAATCCCAAACCCGAAACCCAGAAACCCTAAACCCTAAACCTTAAGCCTAAACCCCTAACCCATATCGCATATTGAGGCGCTCGTAGTGCGAATGTCCGGTTTGTTCCGTTGCATCAATACCCAGAGACTCCAAAACCTCTTAATGAACGAATATACCTTACACTATAAGGGGAACCCTAATATGGTTTACGGTATAGATTCCTTAATTCAGGAATATACCGTAAACTATAATGGGAACCCTAGATATGGTTTAAGCATTCAGGAACATACCTTAAACTATGATAGGAACCCCCTGATAAACTATAATCGGAACCCTAATAAACTATAATGGGAACCCCAAGTATGTTTTAAGGTATAGATTCCTCAACCCTAAACCCTAAACCCTCAACCCTAAACCCTAAACCCTCAACCCTAAACCCTAAACCCTAAACCCTAATGTAAGGGGGTTTTGGAGTCTCTGGGGACCGGCTCTCGGGGGACACCGCTGGTGTACCCGTTCGGTCTTGGGCGCTGCAGGCGTTTCGATGGCTTTTTAGGGTTTTTGGGTTTAGAGTTTAAGGTAGGGGCCTTACTTAAATAATTAGAAAAGAGGGTTTTGGGGGGGCTCCTTATTATAATTATAGCATAATATATCCCAAAACCCCTATGATGTTCCAACTTTCTGGCTTCTACTGTAAGCACTTGCCCCCATGCCCATGCTCTTAAACCCCTGTGCCCTTGAACCCCCTATGAAGTCCCATTGAAGCTAAACTGGGCTCTTGCTACTGTAAGGGTTTTATTTTAAGTTACCATAATAGGGATCTATCGTAAATAATATGGTTTCCTGATTATAGTAACCTTAAACCAAATCCCCTAAAACAAGAGCGCAGTAAACCCTAAACCCTACACCCTAAACCCCCTACACCCTTAACCCCTAAACCCCTAAACCCTAAACCCCACACCCTAAGCCCCCTTATGAGGTCCCATTGACGCTAAACCCTGTAACCCTGCGGTGCATTGTTTCTCCCGGGATCTCAGCCGGAACCCGGGCGCCTCAGAGCATGCGCCGTAGAGCTCAATCAGTTGGGGGCTTCGGATTTCAGGCGTCGGGTTTGAGGTTGAGGGTTGAGGGTTTGGGGTTTAGGGTTTACGGTTTAGGGGTTTTGGTGTTCTTCCGTGGAGGTTCATGGGTAGTTATATAAGCGGGGTGATAGTTATAACAATTAGGGTAACTATACTTATAACTTACAAGTCATATTCGGGGACTTATAACCCCATTTTGTAACTACCCGTGAACCTCGCGGATTTTTTGAAGGTTTGGGGTGGCGTGCGGTGCAAGGTTGAACGCTCCAGCTACAGAGGATCCATGGAGATGAGGGGATCCAAACTCACCAAACTCCTAAACCAAAGATGCAGCACTCCCGAAGCTTCGAGCTGACTGGAACTCTTCGACCAAAGGGTCTCACAGCTTCAGAGCCATCGTGCCTTGCTGCAAGCGCTCAGGGCCACGCCGTCGGACCTCAGAGAACCGAAATTCTGGAAGAATCGAAAGCCCTTCACCCCGAAGTCTCTGGGGCGTAGACGGGACCTGGAACCAGACTCAGGCAGACCAGAGTAGAACACATCCAGGGGGCGATGCAATTATAGTCGCATGACTCTTTCGGATACCCTAAACTCCGAGTGCTTCGCATCTCCGACAGGATTGGCTTGGGCCCCCAAAAAAGTCTTCGGCTTCGAGACAGTCTCGGTTCACAGAGCTTGGCCTCGAACAGCTGCAAACAGCTGCATGAAGGTTTGGGGAGGTGTTCGGGGCTTTGGGGCAGGGCTTCCTGCGCTGCTCCCCCGCTTCCCAGCAGCTCTGCGATGCTGGCAAACGTTCAATCTGATGTGTCTCAATCTCAGTCATGAGTCCTTCACATGAGGATATGCCAGGATTACAAGCCGGACGACATCTTCATTGCAGGCTTCGTTTGCAAGCTGTTCTCTCAGGAGCGACATGGACGTTTCGATGCCATATCATCAGATATCGAGTTGATGTTTTCTTCTGCGGAAAGGGTCATGACATGGAGCGGGCGTAATGCTGACCGCTATCCTCAACCTCCGAAACCCACGACAGTGGTGCCCACGTGGGCTGCCCTCCTCCTAGACGACTCACCCTTTGAAAAGCTGCCCAAATCCGAGAGCATCCAATTGAAACACAGGCTAGACCCACAAAGCCCAACAGGATCTGCTGGGAAGCCCTGCCAGTCCTAACACAACATCGCAGTTTGCCGAACAAGGAACAGCTTCCAACGGCCAAATTCAATCATGTGCTTCTTCTGAAGGCCCTTGGCGAAACTACATGTCAGAGCCTGCGCACCAAAAGCCGCACTACTACAAGTTTCAATCGCATGTCGGCCCAGGTTCTCAATGCTTCGCCGCCTGAAGTCCGCGAACTTCTGCATTGCCTCTGCCGAGCTTTGGATTGATGGCTCAAGGATGTTTTTTGTTCGGGCGCACAGGGCTAAGGGGATCTGTGTCGGACTTTTGGGTTTTGCAGTGCCTTGGATGATTTAGGGCTCTAGGCTTAGCTTTGACTTGACTATGTCTGGGCAACTGTCGGGGTGCGGCCGAGATCGGGCCGACATCTTGCACGAATCGGGCGTAGGATTCGGCAGGTTTGGCCCTTCAGGGTTTGAGGCCGCGGGTGAAAGGGGGCAAGGGTTTCAGGTTTCGGGGTTGACCCACTACTCCTCGAGATATCTGCGACCCCCCGGAGCCCGAACATGCTTGAGCAAAAGCCTCGGATCTCCAACCTTAGCCGCGCATAACACAACCTGAAACTCTTTGCAGGCACCTCCTCCCAGCGCGCCGCGCGGCCAAAGCCGGTGATCGTCCGTGTTAGAGCCAGGGCCTGCAACGGGGGGATGATGCGAACTCCCGAATTAAGGGCTGAGCCTCAGACATTGAAGTCCTTCAGTAAGGGTTTCTCCCCGGGTCGCGTTGGGAGCCTGGGCCTTAAGTTCGGGGACCTCGTCTGGTTCAGTCACTGTCGTCACTAGCAAGCCCACATCTTCGCGCTTCTGCATGTAGGGTTCCGGAGTTCGGCAATTTCGGGAATTTCAGAGGTGCAGCTCAAGCGCGGCGAGGCCCGACATGCAGCACGTTTGCACGCGGATAGCTTTCGATCAGCTCGATGTGTGAGACAGGCATCACAAGTTGTCAACCCCAGCATTGCTTTCTGGTCCCGTCGAGCTTTGGATGGTGTCTTATGGAGGTCACGTGGGAAAACCATGTTTTCCTGAGGCACCCGGAATAAGAAATCCCACCGAGGGAGGAAAGCGCCGGGAGCACAGATTGCGGTTGGGGACTCTGCCTAATTCGGAAGCAGGCTCAGCTGCTCGTACTGTCCCGCAGCTAGCTCGTTCTGCTTCGCGAAATCTTCGATTTCGCGATCCTTCGCCTCAACCTCCTCCTTGAGCTGAATGTTGTCGGCTCCACAGGCATAGATGGGATTTAAAAGCAGCATTCCGACCACAATGCACATGTGCAGTGGGACTAGAACCGCAGCCAAGGAGAACAAACAGGTGTTAAAAATTGTTGATGCACTACTCAGCTGGCCGCTTGTCGGCCAGCCGCAGTCGCCAAACCCCACCTCTTCGGTCAAAGCTACGGAAGTCGCATTGGCCTCCGGTTCGACAGAGATCCAGAAATTGGAAGTGAAACAGGCTACAGCTTCCCAAGAAGCGGTGGCCGGCTCCAGGAATTTTTCCCGGAGCACCGGGAGGCCCATAGGCCGTGCCAGGGAGCCCAGGGGAGCAACGCCCTGGGGAAGGTCCACGAGGCATAAGGCCGTCCAGGAGATGAAGCGCATCAAAATCCATACCGCTGGGATCATGCCTGGGCCTCCTCCTCCAGCTACTTTTGCCTCGTCATTCTTGAGGAAGCTCTTGGTCTGAAAGCCTGCCATGGCAAAGGCAACCCCGAGGCAAGAGAAGGCAGCAGCCCCCAGAAACTCCGCCGATCTGCCCCACCACGCTGCTGCGCCATTCGCCACTGCACCGAGGAAGTACCCCGGCAAGGTGAGGACCGGGTGAAGGGTGGCGCTCGCCACGGCGAAGCCAGCCAGCTCCGCAGCAAAGGCGCCGAAGTACCAGGCGGAGAGCATGGCCGCCTTCACCGGTCGGACGGCCCTCAAGGCCGCTGCATCTGCCTTCGCGCCCTGGCGTACCTTGCAGGGGGTCTTGCAAAAGGGCGTCGGCAAGAGGCTACCACAACTTCTGCATCCCCGAGCTTCGGAGGCCGCTTTAAAACTCCAACCTACTTTTAACGGCTTCTTGCGAACTCCCTCCAGCCACACCTCGCCTCATTCTGCAGCCGGCCCTCGGCCATCGCTTTTGCTGAGGCGTAGAGCCTATAGAGGCAGCTGGCTGCCTGCAAAGGTGTCAACTGGAGCAGGGAGGCGCCGTATGGGCCGATGAGGCCCGTGCCCGGGGCTTCCATGACCCGTTCCATCGCGAGCATCCCCTCCCAAGCCTCGGTCGTCACTCCCCGGGCCAAGCAAAGCCGAGCCTCGCCCACCAGGTCGAAGCGCTTCAGGGCGCTCTTCTGCTGCATCCCCCAGACCGTGAGCAAAAAGCTGAGGACCACGAAGATGCACATGAAGCCCGCAAACCAGAAGTCTCGATGAAGGATGAAAGTGGCGATCTGCACGATGTCGTTCGCGATGTCCTGCGCGGAGGGGGGAGAGGGGGCGCTGGGACTCATGTCGGCCGACCTGGGGACTTTGCGAAAGCAGCTACGATTAGAAGAACACAGGTCCCTTCGAAGAAACGACCCCCTTACAGCAGGGCCGAGGCTCGAAAACGTAGATGGCAAGCTGGAAATAAATGCCCGACGGCGGACAGAATCTGAAGGCGACGACCGGTGCATAGCCTTCGGGCGGAGCCATGAGACCAGAAGCGCTAACGCCTCGCTGCAGCGGGCTCGATCCCAAGATGCTTCGCAAGGTGCGAGACAGGCTCTTAACTAAAGCTCTCCTCCATGCAGACGCCATATCAGCCAAGCTCTTTCACCCAAGAGTCTCCGAGCTGCTGAAACCCAAAACCCCCGGGAAACTGAACAGGCTCTGAGCTCCCGCCTCAAGGACCCCCGCCGCACCCTGTCTGCAGCCCCGCGCCGGTGCTGCCTCGACATACGGTATAGCTTCAAGTTTTGAGCTCTGGGGCTCTCTCGGCCTCTACGGGTTGAAGCGCCTCAAGTTTTCATTTGGGGCTGTAGGGATATATCAAGGTCTACAGTACGTAGGTGCTGGGCTCGAGGGGGTTCTCACTGGGGTTATCCTTCGTATATTGTCTTGTCTTTCAGGCGTCGGACAGAAGTACGGCCGTACGGTCAGAAATGCAGTATAGGTTGGCTGGCCTCTTGCCAAAGATTCTTCGGGAGAACAGCAGCACTTCCTTCTGGTTGCCAATTGCCCGCAAGCGGCGTGTCGACCTCCATGCCTTTTTTCGGCAGGATGCTACGTTGCAAACTTCTGGATCACCGTCATGTCCTCCGCTCCGTGCCAGGTGAGCACCTTGAGCTTGGGGGTTGATGCAGAGTTCGAGCTTCAAGGCTCCAGGTGTGAGGACGGACTTTTGGACAACGACGGGAGCCTCTCAACCTCCGAACAGGTTAAACCAAGAACCGACCGAATTCCTCGTGGGAGTCCCACTTACCCTTTTTCCCTGCCGTTCGCAGGGGTACCTTACACCTGTGATACTCGGAGGTCTTGAGGAGCTTGTCGAACCCTCAACCCCACAGTGGACCCCAGGAGACCCTGAAAAAGTGGAGGAAAGCGGCGGCTTTCGGGCTGAGCTCTGCCAGCTGGGCCAGCAGCTCCACACAGCCCGCACTCTGTCCGCCAGACTCCTGGCATAACTTGGGGGGTTCATGGGTATTTAGGGTTTAGGGTGTTACCATGTTTTACGTTTTGCGGTTTACTTGGGGTTCATGGATAGTTATGAATGGGGTCACAAGTAAGGTAAGTCTACTGCTAACCCATATTACGGGACTTATACCCCCACTTAAAAACCACCCATGAACCTCCAAGCATAGTGGAAAGCTTACAGGGGGCTAGGCTGGAAAATGGGATTCTTTGAGGAGTCAGAGACAGGAGCATGCTCTGATGGAAGGAAGCTCTACTTTAGAATTTAACTTGCCATGTGGCATAGGCTGCTTCGGATTGAACGCCTTGTTTTAAGGCTTTCGTGTTTCCAATTGATTCTGGCTTACGGCTTGGGTAGGTGCTTCGATGTACTCCGGAAGATTCCCTCTGACAGCGTACTCGGATTCATCGCAAGCTGGCGCAAGGAGAACTCCGACGAGAACCCGTCCTACCACCGAGCTTCCGACCTACAAGAGTTCTCAACATCCAACAGACAGTTTGAATCCAGGGTCCGCGGCATCCACAGCGGCCGCTAGTGCCGTGACGTCGGGGCGCCTGTGATGGTTAGAGGGCTTAGGGATAGCGATCAGAGCTTGGGGCTGTTGCCCTAAACCC